CTTTGTGACGCACATTTAAAACCCCCATTTTCACCTGGATATCGTAAAACACACACGATACGTCTAGGGTTTCCATGACTTGATTTTGGTTCTTTGCTTTATAATAATAGCATCGGGGGGGAGGATGTGCTTATTTGTCACGAAAATTATGTCGTGAAGCCTAAAAATAGGCTTCATTTTCTTTTGCATAATATGATTTTCTGTCTTTCTTTCTTTTTTTTAAGTTCTGACTGATGTTTTGTTCTTAAGTTGTACATACAAACATATTGCGGATTTATAAACGTGTTTATTATTGATTAATTTATTTAATGCAAGTGTATCTTGTTTTGGTGTACTGAGGTGTGTGTACTAACTGGACAAGCGGGAGGGCGTCTATTCATCAGTGTAAGTGTGATGCTCAGATCAGGTCTGTTCTGTTGGGTTTATCGTAGGACTCTGGGCTCAAGATCCTTTTCTATACTCTCCTGTTTTGATAACTTTACAGCATAATTTATATGTATTTTCGTCGTATATTTCTCTTTTGTTGTTGTTGTTGTTGTTCCAAATGCTTGTTCTGTTTCTTAGTGATGCTTCTCGGAAAAAAATGCATAAAGAAAATGAAGCATATTACGATTTTTGTCTTTGTGACGCACATTTAAAACCCCCATTTTCACCTGGATATCGTAAAACACACACGATACGTCTAGGGTTTCCATGACTTGATTTTGGTTCTTTGCTTTATAATAATAGCATCGGGGGGGAGGATGTGCTTATTTGTCACGAAAATTATGTCGTGAAGCCTAAAAATAGGCTTCATTTTCTTTTGCATAATATGATTTTCTGTCTTTCTTTCTTTTTTTTAAGTTCTGACTGATGTTTTGTTCTTAAGTTGTACATACAAACATATTGCGGATTTATAAACGTGTTTATTATTGATTAATTTATTTAATGCAAGTGTATCTTGTTTTGGTGTACTGAGGTGTGTGTACTAACTGGACAAGCGGGAGGGCGTCTATTCATCAGTGTAAGTGTGATGCTCAGATCAGGTCTGTTCTGTTGGGTTTATCGTAGGACTCTGGGCTCAAGATCCTTTTCTATACTCTCCTGTTTTGATAACTTTACAGCATAATTTATATGTATTTTCGTCGTATATTTCTCTTTTGTTGTTGTTGTTGTTGTTCCAAATGCTTGTTCTGTTTCTTAGTGATGCTTCTCGGCATAATATGAGCGTTTTGAGTGTGCTGTTGTAGCCATGTCGTGAAATGTTCATATGAGAAGCCACTGGCTGTCAATGCAAGAAAACCTTTAAGGATCATTCATTAAGTTCCCCGTCAGAACGTGCGACTGAGAAACGTGGAATCGGGTTTGACGACACACATCGTCGTTGGTGTGGTGCGATGCTGTTACTGAGATCGTGAAGAGAGGGATTTCGACAGTGAAATACAGTGTGGTTTGAGAGAGTGGATTAATGTATACTTTGATCACAGAAATGATGAAAGAAAATGTGGTAGAATAATTGAAAAATTGAAGGTCATTTAACCCAAAAACAAACAATCAAACAGCCCCATAAGGAATATAATGAACAAGAAATGCATTTTAGGACCATTGATATTGATTTTACATTCCCAGCTAGTAAGAAACGTTGGTTAATATTCTAATGTCAAGGTTCTTTCAAAGTTTTAAACAAACATTGCTCTAGTTAAAGGGATAGTTCAACCGAAAATCATATACTCACCCTCAAACCGTTGAGTTCTGAACAAAATAATATATTTTGAAGAATGTTGTAATCAAACAGTTGACGGTAGCCATTGAGTTCCACAGAATGAAAAAAATATTACTATGGAAGTCAATGGCTACCGTCAACTGTTTTGTCACTTTTGGGTGAACTATCCCTTTTCTCAAAGCGTTAGCACAAAAACATTGTTTATACATTGTTCATGAAACATTTGATTTCCGAACTGTTGGACGTTTATCTAATGTCTCTAATTTATCTAATGTTACTACTTGTTTCAGAACGTTCAGAGAACATTTAAATGCAATGCTTATTTTGTTTATTAATTTTTTTTTAGCTGGGTTGTAAGAATTCAGTTGAGCAGATGTGCCCCCAGTTTGATCAAATTTAAATATTGAAGAGAGGGATTTCGACAGTGAAATACAGTGTGGTTTGAGAGAGTGGATTAATGTATACTTTGATCACAGAAATGATGAAAGAAAATGTGGTAGAATAATTGAAAAATTGAAGGTCATTTAACCCAAAAACAAACAATCAAACAGCCCCATAAGGAATATAATGAACAAGAAATGCATTTTAGGACCATTGATATTGATTTTACATTCCCAGCTAGTAAGAAACGTTGGTTAATATTCTAATGTCAAGGTTCTTTCAAAGTTTTAAACAAACATTGCTCTAGTTAAAGGGATAGTTCAACCGAAAATCATATACTCACCCTCAAACCGTTGAGTTCTGAACAAAATAATATATTTTGAAGAATGTTGTAATCAAACAGTTGACGGTAGCCATTGAGTTCCACAGAATGAAAAATATTACTATGGAAGTCAATGGCTACCGTCAACTGTTTTGTCACTTTTGGGTGAACTATCCCTTTTCTCAAAGCGTTAGCGTTTATACATTGTTCATGAAACATTTGATTTCCGAACTGTTGGACGTTTATCTAATGTCTCTAATTTATCTAATGTTACTACTTGTTTCAGAACGTTCAGAGAACATTTAAATGCAATGCTTATTTTGTTTATTAATTTTTTTTTAGCTGGGTTGTAAGAATTCAGTTGAGCAGATGTGCCCCCAGTTTGATCAAATTTAAATATTTTGATTGTAATTCAGTGAAAATCATGCTCTCTTTACGTATTATCAATAATTGTAATATCACAAAAAAATATATATATAATAGGGTGAAGTATGGTGAAGTATGGCCCAGACTTATTCTTGACCCTTCTTTTGTGAGATTCTCCCACACGTAGGTGTTACTATAGACATGAAAACATTGTAACTAACTTTATTTAGTTTATTTCTTGACTTCACATTCCTAAACCATTCCGATGGAAATGTAGAGAATGTTGAATAACTGAAGATAGACGTTTTAGACAAGTTGATGTTGCAGAAATGGAAAGGCGAAAAGAAAGACGAATAGAGAGAAGTATCATATGTGGATAATATAATGCACATTCGTAGCATGGAAATACATTAGATTCTAAACTATGAAGCACATGTGAAATGATTGTGTGTGTAAGAGCTGTTAGAGCTATTCTCGTAATGTTTACATTGAGGACTAAAGCGTGCTCTCGTGCCACGACGAAGTGCCAACTCAATTTGTGTTGTGCAAAAGCTTAAAACAGACTGTTTAATATGCAGACTTATGTAATATATATATATATATATAATTATATATATATATATATATATTTGTTTAGGGTGAAGTATGGCCCAGACTTATTCTTGACCCTTCTTTTGTGAGATTCTCCCACACGTAGGTGTTACTATAGACATGAAAACATTGTAACTAACTTTATTTAGTTTATTTCTTGACTTCACATTCCTAAACCATTCCGATGGAAATGTAGAGAATGTTGAATAACTGAAGATAGACGTTTTAGACAAGTTGATGTTGCAGAAATGGAAAGGCGAATAGAGAGAAGTATCATATGTGGATAATATAATGCACATTCGTAGCACGGAAATACATTAGATTCTAAACTATGAAGCACATGTGAAATGATTGTGTGTGTAAGAGCTGTTAGAGCTATTCTCGTAACGTTTACATTGAGGACTAAAGCGTGCTCTCGTGCCACGACGAAGTGCCAACTCGATTTGTGTTGTGCAAAAGCTTAAATCAGACTGTTTAAAATGCAGACTTATGTATGACTCATGATAAGAAGCTTACATATTGTTTAAAAGAGTTTGCACCCTATTAGTTCTGCTGTGTGTGCAGTGTTTGGGCTGGAGATGCAGTGCTGTGATGAAGTCGGGTAGAAAATAGATACTGAAGTGGTCGGTCTTAGCTGAAGGAATTTGTTTTTGCATTTTTTGGTCATTGCATATTTATTTATTGATGTGATGCTCTTTTTTATTTTTCTAAGTCGCTTCATAAGATGTTTGAGTCTCATTAATCGTTAAACCTCCACAGGCGGATTACTGTTAGCATTTCTTCAGTAATTATTTTTGCTTTATTTCCTTCTTTTGTCTTATTTTGCAGCAACGAAGTGATAGACACTCAGTATGGAATTGTGTTTGTTAAATATACCTGCAGATGTGGCTTCTCTCTTGGAGTGAATTAGGCTGAAGCGAAATGATGCCGTTTTGTCATTGTGCTTAAATAAATATATAAATATTATATTCTATATTAAAATATATTTGCTAACCTATACAGATCTGTGTGAGTCAGTTCTTTGCCCCGCTCTCAGATAAAGTGCACAATGAAATGATGTGATAATATAAAATGCATATGCTTAGAATTTATGGTAATGATATATTTCTTCGGGCCTGAAAAAAAAAAGAAGTTGCATGAAGAAAAAAGAGGTTTTAGCAAATATTTTCTATGTAAATATGTTTTAAAATTTATTTTTTAAATTAAATATGCAGTGAATATTTTATATGCATGTTGTGAAGAAGAACCTGTAGTGTTAAACTAATGCACATGTTCCACGTTTCAATTGTTTCATCTGTCATGATGCAATGAAACATACGGATGTCATTTTTGTCTAAGTGCTCTTACCAAGCTTGCACTCTTTACTCTCAGCCTATAATGCAATAAATCACAGGGATTAGCTATATTATTAAATGCTAGTGTGTGGGTTTTGGTGAAAATGGCCTAGGATGGACATCCCTTTTGGCCACTACTGTATGTGTGTTAAAGCTCTTTGTTTGAGCTGCAGGCTGTCAGAGCTTCTGGTTTAATACTGCCCTCATGTGGACAGAAAAAAAAAATATGGCCTAATAGAGAATTTGCATGGACATTTGAACCTTTGAAGACTGAAATAACAGACAGCTGTGCACCTTGAACAGGTTGGACCGGTCGAGTTTTAATTTTGCTTTCAGTTTGTTCTACGTGTTAAAATCTAGTTTCCACTGACGAAGACACTTGAGGATCAAGCACAGGATGAGCCAATAAAGTAAGCTATCCATGCATGTTTTGTGTTTTACATTGAAGTGTTGTTTTGTGTCTGGAATTTGAATATTGTTGACAGCTTTGCGTCTCACACCAGTCTGAAGTATTTGACAAACCCGGCCGAATCCGCTTGATGAAAAGATGGCAAACCCTGCAAGTGAGTGTACAATAACATCAACATGAAACTGAATATGAAAAATACCTTTGCTTACTTTCTTAGTACATGATCTGCAGTCCTTTACATGACTGATCAGCACACGTGATCCACCACAAACTCACATTCAGATCTGACCCCAGTCTTAATAAAACCAACTCTTGTCATACATGTTTATTTCTCACTGGATATGAAATTTCATGCTGACCTACGTCTTTAACATTTCTCCTGAGTACTGTGTGCTTGTGGGGCATTACTTTATGCATCTAAGTTAATGAGTGAATTACTGATGAACACACAACTCACTATTACAGCAGGTCTTTTTTTTCCACACATGATCAACACATATTTAAATGTTATGCATTTTAGCATTGCTAGCACCATTCTCCGCTGTTCAAACTTTCTCACACACTTCCTTCATAAGTCCTTTTTACAACAAACTTCATGAGTCTTTGGCTATCAGTTGGTTTTTAAGATTCAGGAAGTAACACTAGTATTGAAACTGTAAGTGGACCACACAGAGAATGAATGAAGAATGAAGAATGACAAATACATAAACAAACTGCCAGCTTTATTGTTTACATTCTGTTCATATTTATGTGAAGATATCAAAAGCTGTAAAGAATTGGAACAACTGTTGAGTACATATGGACAGCAAATACAGGAGCTGTGTCGTCTTTACAACACAAAAAGGTAGCAGTCAGTGTTTTACATACAGTATGTACCTGATTTTAACTGTTATTAGCCAATCCTCCTTCGGAACCAAATATTGACCAAAACCATAAGATTTGATTTTGCTCTTTGTCATATCAAGTGAAAAAGGCCAAACAAAAACTATAAAGACTGAGGCAGAACAAATCCAAAAGCTCTCCGAGGAAACTGAAGATCAGTCATTATATGTCTCATCTATACGCACTACTTTGGAATCAGGAATAGAATTGATAAAGAGAATAATACAGCATCGGGACAATGATTCTGATGTTGTCCAGCCGTGTTGTTCCCAGAGTAAGTCTATTTCTATTATTCTTGTCTAAATAAAGTCTATAAAGAAGGTACACAAGTGGAAAGTTTGTACTAGTTTGATGGACAGTGGCAGCTACTGTGAATGTGGAAACTGAATGAACAGATGAATATCTGGGTGTTTCAGGTACGGCCAGAGAAGGAGATCTCAGTGATACCGAAAGACTTGGTGAGCACCTTTGGAGAAAACAATCCACTTTGAAACTCCCTTCTCTCTCTCTCTCTCTCTCTCTCTCTCTCTCTCTCTCTAAGTGTAGTTATTATATTATATATAAAAAAATAAAATAATGCAAAAATAATTATATATAAACTAAAACTAGATATATAAAAATCTAATAAAATGACAAAAGCACATAACAAAATTACTAAAATATAAATAAAAATATTATATTATAAACAAAACAAGTTAATTCAAACTATTAATAAATACTTCAATAGCATATAAATAATTATAGTTTCCCTCTTTATTTTGGCAGTGCATTGTGGTGCTTAGTATAACTGGATGTTTATGGCAGAACCGAATGTGAACATTGGTGGTGCTGTAAAAACAAGTTAAGTATAATCAAATTGTCTGTCATTTCAACAAATCTTTTTAAAAATCTCATCTAGTTGAAACTGAAAATGATTTTGATGAGTTAAAGTAATATGAGTTGGCATGACTCACTGTTCATATGATTTTTTAACATAAACGTTTGTGTTTCTGTGGATTGTTTGTAAAGGATACGGCGTACGCTGCGAAGCTCCACGGCGCCGGGAGAAGAGGCAAGTAGATGCCGAAGCCGACGATGGCCATGAAGCTGTAGACGAGCCAGGCGAGGAGCTGGAAGCCGTGCAGAGGAAGAGACCAGCCGTTGATCCTGGAGTGAAGCGGCGGAGCGCACAGCTCGCTCCTGCTGCCGGAGATCTGCGGGGCCGGGGCCGGGGCCGTCTGTCTGCGGTGACGCCCGAAGCAGTTCAGCTGCAAACACACACACAAACAGGTTTGTTTTTGTGAAAAGTGGGGACTCTCCATAGGCGTAATGGTTTTTATACTGTACAGACCGTATATTCTATTGCCCTACACCAACCCTACCCCTAAACCTACCCCTCACAGGAGACTTTCTGCTATTTCAGATTTTCAATACACTCCATTCTGTGTGATTTATAAGCGTTTTGAAAAGTGGGGACATGGGGTAATGTCCTGAAAAGTCACCTTCTCCTTGTAATACCTGTCATACCTTTGTCATTATACACATTTATGTCCTCATTTGTCACAAAAACGCGTACACACTCTCTCTCACACACACACACACAAACACACACACGCACACAAGATACACAAGATAGTTGTTCTATTTTTATTTCATTTGTTTCTCACAGATGTGATTCAGCATGATCAACAGATGTTGGAACTCATTAAATACCAAACAAAACACCACAGAGAATCTCCTGCATTCCTACTGATGTTTAATAACTTCAGAAGAGTGTGCCATACAATGGGCATTAATACAGGTATGGTTTCATTCAAAATTGAAAAAGCAAGTCATACAAGCAGTCCAAACCCGGGGAAGCTACATGGAAACTACCACTCCCCCCAATGTATTCAAATGCAGAATGTCATATTTGGTCTTATGTTGGCAGTTTTATCAATGGCTGATTTTTCCTTTTTTTTATCCTCTCAAGCATCAAAAAGACAATGTCAAACTTGTGCCGGTGTCAAGGTAAGTCAAGAGCAGTTTAGCTGATTAATTTCATTCAACCTGCTTTTAAAGCCACATTTCTAATACATTTGCTATTGTTTGGGTGAAATGGTTTGGTTACACGGAAACAAATATGTATCCAGTTCCAGGACTCAGCTGAATGGGACCTGATTAAACCCGTTGTGATCTCAGAGGATGCACCGATGAAGTACAGGTACTATATCTGCTGCATCTCTGCATCTCTTTTATTTATTGTACATTTTCATATGTTATATACAGCAACTGTAATCCTAAATGAATCTCTGTCCAACAGTCTAAAGCTTAAACCAGGCCATTATGAATGCAGCAGGACTGGTCTCCGTATTGAATGCTCCCGGTCTGTTCAGCTTGAGTATCACATCTGTGACTGGGAGTGTGTAAGTGATTTTCTAGAAATGCAGCAGTTTACACCGTGCGGCCCTTTGATGGATATCGCCATCATCTCAGGAAAACTAAAGGCAGTCTATCTACCCCACTTTCTGTGTTTAGGTAATTTTCCCCAAATTCTGTACACATTTTAATGGGGTCATGGATTCATTGTTTTTACAATTTTTTTCACAAAACCTGTCACAAATTAGAAATCAAAGGTCGTTTTCTACCTTACTTACATCTTTGCATATAAAGTAAGTACTACAATTTTGATAAACTAATCATGAAAAGTGTTTTAGCATTATATTTAGATCTAGGCTGATTGTTGCCTAATGTCTTTTGAGTGCACAAATGATCTAATTGCAACTTAATTTGCGTGCACACACACAATGTTAATAAGGGATTCATTAAGGAGTGTAGACAGTGCGCTGTGTGATAGACAGCTCAGACGATTATAAAGGGAGTGGTTTTGCATGCTTTCTATATATAATTGGAACAAAAAATAAATGACAGATTATTTCCATTCTACGAAGAGTAAACAAAGCAACCAAGCAAACAAAAACAACATTGATACGTGTCTAAACAGGCAGTTTTGTGCTGATGTATTCGTCTCTATTACATATTAAAAACCTGGAAGTTTTGAGTTCGGAAACTCACAGTGAGTTTATATAGTAGCCTATGGCCAGATAAGGTAACATTTTAATTCATGACCCCTTTAAAATAAAAAATGCAATCAGCACTATGCTTGTTTCTTTTGCATCTGATCATCATCAGCTAATTTAATACGTTGCAGGTGGATCTCCCATTAACGACGAAGTGAGGGTTGTTCATGTTGAAGACAGTGGGATTTCATTTGAGAAATGCACGATAACTAGATTCCATGCCAAACTTCTGAACCACTCCTTCTCCCCGAAAGGTCTTCTTTTGAGGAGTGGCTTCTCTGTGAATTATCACTGCGAAACATTTATATATGAAACTCAGAAATCATTCCTGACACTTCATGTGTACTTGATTCCAAGTGAGAAAAAAATGATAGAGGTAAGTGATATCGAAATGAACAGTGACACACCTGCTCAATGTCTTGTGCTTTATGGAAGGGGGGGCAAATGTGTGACATTTATTTTCTGTAGGCTGTTGAAAACAATGAGATTAAAAGCAAGACAAGACTCATCTCAAAGCCAGGGCCTGTATCCTCGCTTCAGACAAAGACTTGGTATTCACTGAGGACGCTGGATGAAAATAAGGAATCTGAGTGCAAATTTGAAGTTCAACCCAAAGTAAATATTTTAAAATATTACATAAATGTGACTCATTTCCCTTAACAATGTTCCTCAAATTGCAGTATGCTGTATTTCCAGGTGGTCTAGTAAATTGCTGTGTCTCATTTTAAGGTTTCACCCTCTGAAGGTCGCATTTGTTAGCTGCATTTGTTATTAAGGCTTCCTCTTTTCAGAAACAAATGCACAAATGCAACCTCCAAAGGTCAAAATGACACACACCAATTTACCTGACCACGTGAGTATACACTGTACAACAGTATTAAAATCTGTTCAACCTGTAAATCTAAGTCCATAAACCCTCCTACCCCACTGCCCAAACACAAAACCCTAATCCAGCACTCTTACCCTCAACAAACCATTCGAGTCCTTTCCTTTCTCTCCATTAGCAGTTAGAGCTCAAGTACAAACCCGTAAAACCAGACTTCTTTGAAGTATTCATTGATACACCAAAGGACTTTCACCTTCAGCTGATGCCAGAACATCACGGTGAAGGTGTATGGGATGCCAAAATACGTCAAGGTAACATTTGTTATGAGCTTCATTGTTATGGGACACGGACCATATGTGCAAAGTAGTAGGATCTCACACCTATGTTCTGACATTTAAATAATTCAGATATGTGTGTTTCTTTCAGATGATTACAGCCAGAGAGTTTCTTCAGTGGGTATGTGCAGTGTGCAGTGCTTCATTATGCATTGAAATCAAACTGTGTTTTTCTTTTCTTTGTAATTTAGAGTCAGTTTGGCTGTGTGCATATGTGTGTTTCTTTCAGATGATTACAGCCAGAGAGTTTCTTCAGTGGGTATGTGCAGTGTTTCATTCTTTTCTTTTCTTTGTGATTTAGAGTCAGTTTGGCTGTGTGCTTGAGTATATTGTCCTTTATTTGGTGAAATTAGTAAAAACATTTGAGAAAACAAGATTACAGCTTCTGAACTAGTGTTACTGTTATACTATACTGTGTTATATGCAGATGGATTTCCCGAGCTCAAGCAGGGTTAGTTCACCCACAAATTCATTTTAAATCTTAATTTTTACAATGCTATGGGAATGTTATTACCAGCTCCGCCATATCGACAGGTACTAGTGTAAGGCTGTGAGCACATTCCTAACCAGACACGATGCGACAAGATTCCAGCGACAGGCGATTTGTCTGTCCACACCAGACGTGACACGACATATCGAAATATCACAGCCATTCAGAAGCACAGAAGTGCACTACTCTCCCAATGAATTGGACAAGTTTATCATCTAATCATCTAATGTTAAAGCTTTTTAACATTATTAAAAGAAAAAAAATCAGAGTGACTGATACCATCTTTATGAAATACGCTTGTCTGTTCGCATTGAGTTCACAGTCTTAAAGGGTTAGTTCACCCAAAAATGAAAATTAGCCCATAAATTACTCACCCTCAAGTCATTCTAGGTGTATATAACTCCAGTCGGAGTTATATTAAACATTGTTTTTGATCTTTCAAGCTGTTTAATGCCACTCAGCGGGTGTTGCATGCATCAGTCCAAAATAAGTTAAATAAAAAGCGCCCATCCATAAAAATAAAAAAAAGTGTCTCACACGGCTCCGGGGGGTGAACAAAGGCCTCCTGTAGTGAATCAATGCGTTTTTGTAAGAAAAATATCCATATTCAAAACGTAATAATCACTTTAATTTAGCTTGCGCCAACAGTTGTACACGGAAGCAGCTCCGGGCGGATGACGTATGAGTTCAGCGTTGCGCATGCGCCGGTCAGAAGTGATGCACTTTTTTATGCAAATGACCTGCAGCGATTGCTGGAACTTCCTGTGTTGTGGACAGATGGATGTATATGTCCTTAGGATTTATTGTGACAAACCAGTCATTGGACCTGATTTGAATCACGATCAGCTTTAGTGTTAACTTTGATCTTCTATGTTTTCAACATGCAATTAAGCTGCACAGATCTAGAATCAGACACAACCCCCCATTCTCAGACTGTGGGGATGATCCTGTTGATCCGAGGTGAATGAGAACCAAACTAGTTTTTAAGCCTCTTTGCATAGACTGCAGGACCCATTGAGATGCATTTGGCTGAAGAATTTTGGGCACCCTCCTGTCAACATACTCGGGACCACACTTACTGTAATCACACATACTATTTAGGAAGGATAGTATGTATATTGGGACACGGGGATTATGAATTCTTGAACTTGAAACTTCATTTCCTGATTGCAGTAAATAACTGTGTTTTTAAACAATTTCTATACTTTTTACACTAAACTACTTTAATGTGTGTAAGCTGTGATATTAATGACTAGCAGGTCAATTTTAAATTTAAACTATTCATTAACTGCATAAGCTTTGAACATAATTTAACTGCATACAGTGTTGTATGATGCATACATTAATTCACCCTATTATTTCACAAAACAAAACAAAAATGACACTTCTTAAACAGGTCAACATGTATTTAATATATAACTTTTTTAAAAAAGTGCATGAAAGAAATGTCATAAAACATTGTATTTAGTAATACTTTGAATTCCAAAATAAATTGGACATGAAATTCAAAAATATTAAATTACTTAAAACATATTACCATGCATAACTTTAAAACCACAAGTTAACCAACATGGTCATAATTAAACTTGTCTAAAAACCACAAAGACTGATTAATTTTCACCACTGCATGAGCAGTCCAACATGCCCAAACAACAAGGCCCCAAGTGAGTCCAACAAAACTTCGGATCAAACAAAGGAGAACAGTTCCGCTCCAGATGCTGTTCCATCCCAGGATGCAAAGAGTGGCTAGACATATTAAAAAGAACAAAGAGGACATTATATAAGATATATTACAAAACATAATAATACAATCAGAAACAGACCCGAAAAAGGGATGACAGGTACAGTCAAATAAATATGGAGAATAATAAAAGAAAAAGAAAAAAAAGATACTGGGGTGTGTACTACTTACATTTCAGAAATTCCACTGAAAACCCTTCACTTTGCAAAGAAGAGTGGCAACACGTGGGTTCACTTCTAGCGGTTTCTTCTGAACCATTTGCCCTTTTGTTTTCGAACCTTTTAAATTCTGTTCTTGAATGGCCCAGCCAGAGCCCTGACTTAAACCCAATTGAGCATCTCTGGAGAGACCTAAAAATGGCTGTCCACCAACGTTTACCATCCAACCTGACAGAACTGGAGAGGATCTGCAAGGAGGGATGGCAGAGGATCCCCAAATCCAGGTGTGAATAACTTGTTGCATCTTTCCCAAAAAGACTCATGGCTGTATTCGATCAAAAGGGTGCTTCTACTAAATACTGAGCAAAGGGTCTGAATATTTAGGACCATGTGATATTTCAGTTTTTTCTTTTTTAATAAATCTGCAAAAATGTCAACAATTCTGTGTTTTTCTGTCAATATGGGGTGCTGTGTGTACATTAATGAGGAAAAAAAATTAACTTAAATGATTTTAGCAAATGGCTGCAATATAACAAAGAGTGAAAAATTTAAGGGGGTCTGAATACTTTCCGTACCCACTGTATAGTCCTTTATTTGGTGAAATTAGTAAAAACATTTGAGAAAACAAGATTACATTAAGCTTCTGAACTAGTGTTACTCTTATACTATACTGTGTTATATGCAGATGGATTTCCCGAGCTCAAGCAGGGTTAGTTCACCCACAAATTCATTTTAAATCTTAATTTTTGCAATGCTATGGGAATGTTATTACCAGCTCCGCCATATCGGCAGGTACTAGTGTAAGGCTGTGAGCACATTCCTAACCAGACACGATGCGACAAGATTCCAGCGACAAGCGATTTGTCTGTCCACACCAGACGTGACACGACATATCGAAATATCACAGCCATTCAGAAGCACAGAAGTGCACTACTCTCCCAATGAATTGGACAAGTTTATCATCTAATCATCTAATGTTAAAGCTTTTTAACATTATTAAAAGAAAAAAAACTGAGTGACTGATACCATCTTTATGAAATACGCTTGTCTGTTCACATTGAGTTCACAGTCTTAAAGGGTTAGTTCACCCAAAAATGAAAATTAGCCCATAAATTACTCACCCTCAAGTCATTCTAGGTGTATATAACTCCAGTCGGAGTTATATTAAACATTGTTTTTGATCTTTCAAGCTGTTTAATGCCACTCAGCGGGTGTTGCATGCATCAGTCCAAAATAAGTTAAATAAAAAGCGCCCATCCATAAAAATAAAAAAAAGTGTCTCACACGGCTCCGGGGGGTGAACAAAGGCCTCCTGTAGTGAATCAATGCGTTTTTGTAAGAAAAATATCCATATTCAAAACGTAATAATCACTTTAATTTAGCTTGCGCCAACAGTTGTACACGGAAGCAGCTCCGGGCGGATGACGTATGAGTTCAGCGTTGCGCATGCGCCGGTCAGAAGCGATGCACTTTTTTTATGCAAATGACCTGCAGCGATTGCAGGAACTTCCTGTGTTGTGGACAGATGGATGTATATGACCTTAGGATTTATTGTGACAAACCAGTCATTGGACCTGATTTGAATCACGATCAGCTTTAGTGTTAACCTTGATCTTCTATGTTTTCAACATGCAATTAAGCTGCACAGATCTAGAATCAGACACAACCCCCATTCTCAGACTGTGGGGATGATCCTGTTGATCCGAGGTGAATGAGAACCAAACTAGTTTTTAAGCCTCTTTGCATAGACTGCAGGACCCATTGAGATGCATTTGGCTGAAGACTTTTGGGCACCCTCCTGTCAACATACTCGGGACCACACTTACTGTAATCACACATACTATTTAGGAAGGATAGTATGTATATTGGGACACGGGGATGCTGATTGGTCAGCAGTGCTACACTTTCGTTCAAGAAAATATCATACTGCATGTTAAATAAAATATAACAAGCAATAATCAAAGAAGAATCAAAAACTAAATACATTTCAACAATCTTAGATTTATTATGTCAAACACACAGTGCATTTTTAGAGCTCCATACATTAATATGATAAAGATGCTCCAAATATAACCTGATTCGATTTAAGAGAAAGTTATACTAATTGTGATAAATGTGACATGACTCGAATAGTTGTAATGTTCTATTAAACAGTGTGTACAGATTGTGCAACAAAAATAAACAAATAACTTTTCCTCAGAGACCTCATGTCCGGCAGTGGTTCACGAAAGGCAAGATGCAGGTATAATTGCAGCAGTCAATATCATTATGAAACCAAACGCACTCAAGAGCACTAAGGAACAATCACCAGAGAAACAGAACTAAACACAAGGAGGAAACACATCAACTTAATCATCCTCAAAGACAAAGCATAACCATGCCATGACATGGCTCTATCAGGTTTAATTATAGGAGTGAAATATGACTATTGTCTTCGAGCTTTCATTTTCAGATAAATTGGGCTCGGTGATTTGCCTTTTTTATTATTATTTTTTTATACAGTGATTACATTTCACTCAGTATTCAATTTGTTACAGCACACCGGTTGGCATATTAATAATTGACCAGCCTACATTGTGTGAATATATACCAGTCCATCCGATGTTCTTACAGACATGTATTCACCCAAACGCATTTATACCTTACCGATAGCATTGGTATAAAACAAATAAGGTGATTACATGTGTTTTAAAGTTGACCTAACAATGTAATGTTCTCTTACTGCTTTATTTCGTCTTCACGAGTCTCCCCGCCGGTCTGCCAGCGCACTGCGGGAGGAAAATACTGGTTAGCACAGCTTTACTAGGAAAGTGAGGAAGTAACATTAAAATAATTCATACAAGACGATGAAGAAAGGTGTATAGATGTGTTTTAACGTACCTCTGTGACTCTCATCTCCCCGCTGGTCTGCCTCGAAGGAAAAGACCGGCTAATACAGCTGCACTCGGGAAACTGAGATATTCTTACGGAGACTTAAACCTGGCTTTATATCGCGCTTATAACATCAACATACGCATCAAGCGATAAAAGAGTCAAAAATGAAAATTAAGCTACGATGCTCTAGTGGTTTTTCATCTTCATGAGTCTTTCACAAAGCCGCTGCTGAGGAGGCGTGTGGTTGTTTTTCGCAGTCATTAGGACTAACATTACTGTTTTTAGATTTACTAAATATAGTAAGCAAATATTTTTTTCAAAATGCACTGAAAATCTAAACCTGAGAAACAGTAATAAAAGTTTTACTAAGTTTTAATAAAATGATTTACGGTGATGCTGTTTGCTAGCTAGTATGCTGACCATCCAATCAAAGGAGGAGAAAATGCTGACGTTATCGTTAGCCAGCTAGATGGCC